ATTTTTATATTGTTCTACAGTATCTACAGTGGCCAAGATTCTAGGTCTCAGCCATAGATCCAATTTCAGGCTCTGTTCTGTACTAGCTCTGCACCTTTGGGAAAGTTACTTAACTTTCCAAGGTCTTTTTCCTCAAGTGTAAAATATACATAATGACATAATTGACTAAGAGCATAATTAGCTTAGGCTTGCAAAAAGTAACTACTCAATTGATACTGTTATCTCTTGTCTAATTCTCATAACCACTCAATTGATACTGTTATCTCTTGTCTAATTCTCACTCCTAGCATAGTTTTGTTTTTTTCTGCTTTGATGGATTCCCCATCTCAAATAGTTTGACTAATACTACAATTAAGTACATTACTAAAGTTATTGTTGTCAACCTAAACCTTTCATCCACTTCTTCAATAATAAAGAAAATCACTGCTTGTATGTTTCAACAGTATCTAAGAATTAACTTGCTGAAAACTGATTTCATCTTTGCATACGTTCCTAAAATGCTCCCTTGGCTTCTGTAACACACACGTTTCAGGTTTTCCTTTTCCGGCCATCTCTTCTCAGACTGTGCATCCAGACTCTAAATGTTAGTGTGCCAAGAGGAAAGCCTAGGGTTTCATTTGTCATACTACAGTCTCCACCTTGGTGATCTCATTATGCTTCATCAAGGCTACAACGGCAAAATGACTTCCACAGTATATCTAGTGTGGATCTCTCCTCTGATTTCTAGATTCCCATGTCCATTTGATATCACCATGTGATAAAGCAGCTTAAGCTCAGTAAATCCAAAGTTAGCTTCACAGTATTCCTGGACTCATGATTCAAAACTGAATTCATGATTCATGATAACCAAACCGAGTTATCCAGTGTTATGTTGCTATTAAGTGTCTGTGTGGCATCATTATCCATTCAAGTTTTATACAGTAGAATTCTAGAAGTCTAAGTCATTCTTTATAACCTTTCCCACCAAATCTAATCTATTCCAATTTCCCTTACATAAATTTCATTTTACTGCATGAATATCAGTCCGTTTTTTAAACTGATACAAAATAATTTCCCTTGTAGGTTTCATTCTCAATTGCCCGGTCCATTACTATAATGTCCAAGGTCTCTATCAATAGAAACTTCAGGCTTCTCATCTTTTCTGTTCATATCTGTCCAATATCTCAACCATCTAGTTTCCTATTCCTTCTAAATACTCCAGTCACAGAACTATTTTATATATATCTGCATATAATTTATTCTTTTCCATCCTTTTCCCCCTATGTCTTTTTTTCTCTCAAAGTCTTCTTGGAACTCTTCACTCAAAAATTTGACTCATTATTACTTTTTAGGTTTATTTATTTATTTATTTACGCATACAAGAGCTGGGATGTAGGACAGAGGTGGTAGAGGGGGGAGGAGGAAATTCACTAGAAACAGAGTGGGGTGCAGAAGAGGTGGATCTACTGAAATACACTGCTGAGGGGAGCAGCAGAGGACACAGAAAAGGTCTGCTGTGCTGTGTGGATCAGCTACCTGGTCAAGGATCAAACTTGTGCTGTAGTAACTGGTAGTGCTGAGACTCACCCCCTTGTGCCACCACAGAGGCCCTCTCTATTACTCCTTACTGGGAAAAAAATAAACATATATGCATAGGGCCATTATTTATTCAGTCCACCAAAACATGCTATAGTTTTCCTCCCAAACATGGTCCTCAAAATCTATCACTACCTAAATATATTATTTCCCTTAATAATGATTATATGAAGTGCTGCATCTATGAATGTACACATTTTATATCTTTTATGAAAATGTATATACTTTCAATTTTTTTTATTTCTTAAGTCTAGTAACAATCATAGAAAGCTGAACTTCTTTATTTGTTCTAATTTTCCTCTCTCTAGCACCAAGGTAGTCCTTATTTAAGCATTTTTTAATTTGGTTAACGAGCGGATAGTTCTCTCAGTCATGTCATTAATAATTTTAAAGGAATAATAATTTCTTAAAAAACAGAATAAAGGGCATGACCCAGGTATGTTAATATTTGTATTCCTCATTTCCATAATAATGTCTCATAAAGCAATGGTGCTCAAAAGATATTCAAAAGAATTTTGCTTTGGACTGATGCTGCAAGGTTCGAGAATGTCAAAAAGAAAGCAAAACTTCCCAAATATATTACATCTTCTTTTCAAGCAAAGTGATATTTGGGCTAAAAAGATGGCTGGTAACCAGTAGAGGTGAGGTACCAAGTGCTTGCCGCTCTAAGTAAAATGAAGTTCCTCATGAATGTGATCACTGAATCACTGCCAATGGAGGAAACTTGGAGGCCTGGAGGGGTGCCAAAGACTGGGGAAGATCAAATAAATGTACTTCTGGTTAAAAAATAGAAAAGAAAAAGTTGTTAATAATAGTCCAGTACACTCAAGCCAGTCCTTTCCTAAAACCAGTTTACTGAAAAATTAGTTGCCATTCACCTAGAAAAGAAAATGGTAAGCATTTGTGGAATCAACCTGAATTTATACCAGACTAATCTTTTTTAGGAGAGTGTGTTTATACATAGAGCATACATCAAAGCAGTAATAACAATATGTTGTTAGTATTTCAACAAGGTATTTGACAAGATCCTCATTATACCCATAGCGATAAGTATAATGATAATAATGGTGGTTAGGTAATAGTTTGAACAACCATAACAAGTGTTCATTAATGAATGAATTGCTATCAGCCTAAAAGGGAAGCTTCAGGACTCCCATCTGTGGATTTCTCCTGTTCAACAATTATCTGTAATTTGGAAGAAGATGTATAATACTATTGCTGACATCCAATATGTGGTTGACAGGAAACTACAAGTCACAGGGGGCTCATAACCTATCTTATGAAAGAAGCAGAATCTAAAAACACAAAGACAAGACAGGAAAAAAATGGGCTAATTCCAGTAAAATGGAATTTAAGAGGAAAAAATATCTAAGGAATCAATCAATACCAGTGTCCAAAAATAGACATTATAAAACTGAGATGGGCAGGCACTGTGACTTAACTGCCACAGATATAAGACGAGCAAAAAGAATGCTTTAAATGACAGCAAGCTAAGTTCAATCTGACAGCAGCAAGCTCAATATGATGCAGATCTCAGAAAAGCTAATGTGATGCTAGCTGCAGTGGTAGTAGTATCTCAAACATGGGAGATTACAGTCCTGTTCAGCTCTGGGACTGATCAGACCATAACTGGGATATTGTATGCCCTTCTTGGGGGGGGGGGTGTCACAGTTTTCAAAGGATCCTAATCATGCTGGCACATGTTCAGAACGGATCAACCAATATGGTTAGGAGCCTGACTATTCTTCCATAAAAGGAAAGGCAGGAAAGAATGGAGATTTATAAATAGGACAAAATGATGCCTTGAGACGAAAATGATAACTACCTTCAGTCAGTCATTCAACAAACTTATTTCAGGCCAGACACTGTGACAAAGACTGGGTCTGGAGAGAAGACAATCTCTGTGAGAAATTTATGTCTATCTGAAGAGTTGAAATAGTCATGATCTAATAAAGAATTAGACTATTCTATGATTTCCTATGGCAGAAGTAGCACCAGTGGGGAAAAGTTAGAAAGTAGCCATATAAGGAAGAGTATTTTAAGGGGGCAAAGCTGTATGTTGGAGAAAAAAGCTACCTGAAAAGACTGAGTTTCCCATCAGTAACAGTGTAGTCAGAGGGCACAATGCTGAAATAAGACAGGCACTGAACTGTATTGTCTTTTACAGTCCCCACATGCTAGCTGTGGATGTACCTTTCCCCAAGAAATGGACTCTCACACCTTACTTGTTTGCTTCAGCATCACAGGTTTCCTACAGTCGATATTTCCAACGTGGTACCCTGTCCCTCACTGAAGTGATGTTTTATAATTGGAAACTGATTTGAGAGCAAAAGGAAGACTGAGCTATAGGAAGAAACTGACCCACAGAACAGGAAAATGAATCTGTCCAATGTGCCTTGGGTTTGCAAAGAAAATTCAAGAATTCTCTATCCTCTATGTCATAAATTCAACTAAAATATCTTATTGTGTTCGATTCATGTAAATAAGGATTTGTTAGGTACCGCATCCCTTGTTGGGAGCCATTTTTCTCTAACCAAGAAGGAAAAATAATTTTAAGATCACTTCAAAAATTTGAAAGCATTCCAAAAACCTATGTTATCAGGCTATGTAGGAACTAAGTTTAGACTGTATTTCTAAAAAGAAATGATTCATCAGCTATCGCAGGCCAAATACTATGAACTAATCAAATTGTGGAATTCTGATTAAATGGCTACTTAAGTTTAATCTATTTAAACATCACAGGCAGGATATGCAAAGAGAAAAGGCCTACACCATTAGATTCTGAGTTTTATAAATTGGTTTAAGATTATTTAAGCTTACTTTCAATCATTTTATTTTATAATGGCAAGTATACAGGCTCTCTCTGCTGCAATTGGGTATGTAAGGAGTTCACCCTTCCACACTGCTAATATTAACTTCTTGGAAGCCGTCCCTCCCACTTGAGCACTTTCTCAATTTGGATACAATAAAAAGACCACAATTCGATTTCCACGGGCTCTTTCTTTTAAATAGCAGCTGGGAAAGACAAAAGTGAAGAGTGAAAGAGGAACATCTTCAGCCACCACCCCTGAAAAAAGGCTTTCCCTCGTGTTGCCGTCAACTCTGCTGGTTCTCTACCATTTCTCAACACACTGCCAGGTCGTTAAAGAAGAAAAAGAAGCACACAATTCTAGTTTTCCTGGGACGGGAAGATACCCTTTATAGTAGAAGTGGCTAGAGCTTGGAGTACCCAGGGGATCTCGTCTCGTTGCCAGGCAGCGCCAACCCCAGCAGTCCAGTGCCAGGGCACCTCCCGGCGGCCAGGACCCCGGGACGGCCCGGCCCGGCCCGAGCCCCCGCGATCGCCGAGTCCCAGGGCGACCCCGGACCGCCCCGCGGGCGCCCCGGGACCGCGGCAGAAGGCGGGGAGACGCGGCTCGACTTACAGTGACACCATCCTAGGTGACAGCACCAGTGCAGCTTGAAGCACTTGCCGTGGCTGTGCGTGGCACAGATGGAGAGCCCATCGCACGGCTGGAAGTCGGGTCTGCGGGCGGCACAACTCCGCGCCAGGGCCTGAGCCTCGTCCACTTTCTCGCTCTTCCAGCCCCGCTCGGGCGCGGGCGCCGCCGCCGCACTCATTTCCTCGCCCTCCACCGAGCCAAGACCGGAGCCAGGGAGAAGCGGCGTCTGGGCGGGCAGGAAGCCGAGTCGGCTGCGGACGCGGGAGGGCGCGGCGCACGGAGGGCGCGGGAGTCACGCCAGCGCGTGGCGGCGGC